TCTGGCACCCCAGGAACTCCTGGTACCTCAGGAACTCCTGGCATACCTGAAACATCTGGCACGCCTGCAAGTCCTAGCACATCTAGCACTCCTGCCACACCTGGAAGCCCGGGTACATCTGGAATTCCTGGTACATCAGAAAGTTCTGTCATACCTGGAAGTCCTGGCACACCTGGAACTTCTGGCATGCCTGCAATTCCTGGCACATCTAGCACTCCTGGCATACCTGGCTCTCCTGGTACACCTGGCACTCCTGGCATACCTGGAAATCCCGGAACATCTGGAACTCCTGGCATACCAGGAACTTCTGGCACGCCTGCAAGTCCTGGCATATCAAACATTCCTGGCACATCTGGAAGTCCCAGTACACCTGGAACTCCTGGCACATCTGGAAGTCCTGGCACACCAGGAACTCCTGGCACTTCAGGAACTTCTGGCACATCTGGAATTTCTGGCACACCTGCAAGTCCTGGCACATCTAGCACTCCTGCCACACCTGGAAGCCCGGGTACATCTGGAATTCCTGGTACATCAGAAAGTTCTGTCATACCTGGAAGTCCTGGCACACCTGGAACTTCTGGCATGCCTGCAATTCCTGGCACATCTAGCACTCCTGGCATACCTGGCTCTCCTGGTACACCTGGCACTCCTGGCATACCTGGAAATCCCGGAACATCTGGAACTCCTGGCATACCAGGAACTTCTGGCACGCCTGCAAGTCCTGGCATATCAAACATTCCTGGCACATCTGGAAGTCCCAGTACACCTGGAACTCCTGGCACATCTGGAAGTCCTGGCACACCAGGAACTCCTGGCACTTCAGGAACTTCTGGCACATCTGGAATTTCTGGCACACCTGCAAGTCCTGGCACATCTAGCACTCCTGCCACACCTGGAAGCCCGGGTACATCTGGAATTCCTGGTACATCAGAAAGTTCTGTCATACCTGGAAGTCCTGGCACACCTGGAACTTCTGGTACTTCTGGAACACCTGGAACTTCAGGCACATCAGAAAGTTCTACCACACCTGGAAGTCCTGGCACACCTGGAACTTCTGGCATGCCTGCAAATCCTGGCACATCTAGCACTCCTGGCATACCTGG